GTCAACGAGGACGAGACCCTGCTGCCCGGCCACCTTTGCTCGAAACCTCAGGGTTCCGGGTGACGACATCCCAGCTACAGAATGTAGGGAAATCGCCGCCCCTTCCTCGGCCTCGCTCTCCTCCGCGGGTCGCGCGCTCCCCGGAGCTTCCCCGCCAGCCCCGCCGGTCGGGCTCCGCCCCGAGCCATCCTCGACCACCGCGCGCGCCGCCTCCTGCCACGCGCCGCCCTCCGCGCCTCGGCCGGCCTGCCCGAACGCCGCTGCCTCCTTCTTCCAATAGCTCGCAATCTGCCACATCCTCTCTTGCTTCTGAGCCCATGACAGTTCTGATCTTTCCATCGCTGATTCTCTGGTTTCGAAGCTGTCCCTGATGGAGTTGGGAAGAACTCACAGATCGGAACGGGGCTCTGATACCAGATGTTAGAAACAAAGAAGTTCCACAAGGGAATTAGGGATTGAGAAGAGAAGAAATTAGGGATTTGAGAAGAATTGGGGAAGAACAAGAGATAGAGAGAGATAGAGAGAATTGGGGATTTAGGGATTTTGATTGTAATATTGATTATTGACTAACTCTGCAGAATAGTGTTCTCTCCTCTTAAATACAAAACAGAAATAATGAAAATAACGAAACTGCCACTCCCCTCACCCAACCCGCCCAACCCGCCGGTTTCTAACAGTAACCAATGTAACATAAACGCATAGGAAGATTCTAACACGTGAGCACTTCATAAAAAATAATATGAGTTGGAATTCAACAAATAACTAATGGTTTCACTACCCTTCCGATGATCAAATTGAACACTCAAACATATAGTGAAAAATGCTGAAAATCTCTAATATGATGGGTGATGGAGCAAGCATGATTTCATTCAACCATTCTAATTAATCGAATAACAATTCATAAGTCAGTCCAGAGAACCAATCCCTAAGAACCCCAAATCTTTTTCTAAAAAAACATTTTTATCTCATCACTTATGTACCATTATCATTCGAGAACACATATCAAAAATCGGAATAGACGGGACCAACATTAATAAACTACTTACACAAACTTTCTTTTTAAGAGATTATATCATTATCAACCATCATCCATCCTATGGACTAGACCACTAGCTACTGCTATCATGTTAATTATGATTATCTTCCAAATCAAACGAAGTGCTCTCATCAAAACCTCACCAATTTCTCCATAAAAGTATACTTCAAAAGGTGAATAAAACCATCATTTCGCTTTGCATTGTGACAATACGCAAAGGGACACGAGAGGTACAAATCAAACCAACCACTTCCTCTCCTCTCCCTTTCTTTCTTGTGCTCCTTATTTGCATTACAAATTATTAGTTTTAGACTTTTAGTTTAGTTCTTCTATGCAAAGTATTGATATTAATTTAGTAATAAGTGGGTGTGGGGTGCCGGTTGGGTTAATCGAAACCATAAAAAAAATAAAAAACTGAACTATGATATTTACCCGAAACCAAAATCGAACCATTTAAAGAGCTTATTGGTTAACCAAAATTCGATAAGACCTTATCGGGTTCGGTTAAAACAAACCGTGAATTTAAACCCCTACATCCTCAATTAAAACCAAAACCCTCTGTACTCCTCAACTGCTAATTGTGGTTTCAATTTCTTATATGTTTTTCGGTTTAACTTAGAACCGTTGATCTACAAACTGGGTTGGAAAACAAAAACTCATAACCGCTATCCCAGCCCTAGCTAGGTGTCACCAATGGAGCTCTGGAGATATAATATTTTATGTTCAACATTGTCTCGTGAAAAATATAACCTACACGAGTTGTCAATTAAGCAGTATAGCTTGATTCGCCCTATTATCATGATTAAGTTGACAATCATGATGACTAGACATTCATTATAGTTGTGAATCACTCCGTTTAAAAACTAATAAGTGGATTAGGCTAATGAAATTTTGGACATGTAGGGTTTGAGTTAAATACTATTATGTTGTTCATCGGGGAGAATACAAACTATGAGAGATATATTAATCAGACAATATCTATTGATTCATTTATTATCATGATTGAGCTAACGATTATAGTGATCAGTTGATTATCTTCGATCGTGGATCACTCGATTGTTATGGAAGAGAATTACTATGACCCATATTTTTATTAAGTCAACCGAAATTATGGTTATAGATCGCAAGGATATTTTGGCTTTCTCCAATAGCTAGTTGACCGATTGATTAACGTCGTTTATGGTTTTATTTCTATCCAACTTGGATTAGGAAATTATGAAGGAAACAAATAAGGAGCTCAAGCATCCTATCAGTATCATAAATTCATAATGATATTATGCACGTGGCTTAACTGGCTTCCATGTCTCCCATTAGTACATGTTTATGATTTTTTTTTGTAATTTCCATTTACCCATTAATCCATTAACTAATGAAGTTTAAGGGGGCAAGTAGCTAATAACGTAACAGGATTAAGGCTTCCAAATTGTCTTGATGACGGCTCTTGACTAGGGTTTTGATTGCTTTCACCCTTGGCCATCCATTGAATTAATCCCATTAACTCCCACAAATTAATTTAAAGCTTCCTTGATTTTGATTTATGAAGCAATGGCCAATAGTCCAACCAAGAAGATACCAACTATGTAACTAAAAGATGTTAGATGTCCATTACAATCTAAGTTTAGGAAGAATTTCACGTAAATTAAGACCAAAGTTTCAAAATGAGACATTTTGTTCAAATGTATAGTATGTGAAGAAAAATTAAAACAAGACATTCGGTTCATAAGATAAATTAAATGTATCAATTGAGAGAACTCGAAATATCTCTCATCCCTTTATTTATTTTAAAATTTCTTTTTATTTTGTTTCCTTACTTCCAAAACTATCCCGAATGTTTTAGTTGAAATCCAAAATCACCCCTGAACTCCTTGAATTGTCAATTACTGAACTTTTTTTTTTCTTCTTCAAAACACACTTTTAGTCTCTTTTATGCATGGAACCAATAAAAGATCTTGAAAAAACACAAATAATATACCATATCATGAGAAGCATTTTGCCTTTGGCTTTTTTGCTTTATGTTTCATGCAGACCACCCTTTCGCTTTCAAAATTTCAATTTGAGATATAAAGAAATCCTCCTGAATTGCCAAAACAAAACTTTATTAGGCAGCCAGCACACAAGTGCCCTTTCCAATTATCTCTGGTCTATCATTGAAAAAGTCAATATAATAATAACTATAGAAAATCACACGATGAGTTACTATGAAGAATTCTAACGGATTAATTTGATCCAGTTGTATCGCTTTGAGATAGTTGGGCCAATTTGATTCGTTTGGCTGCATAAATTTTAGATGGAACAATTTAGCTTGTGGAATTTCTAATTGAGTTATTTTGAGGCAATTACAATGTCTGGGATGGGGGCAGGTGATTCGAGTTGACAGTCAAATTATCTCATATTCCAATTGATCCATCCTGGTACAACTGTGGTGATTCTGTAGTCAGGTAAATCTCGGGGCTGCTGGCTCTCGACACAACCTTGGTCTCGTGAGAAGGGGGTGCTACTAGAGGCGAGGTAAGCCTAAAACGCCCAATAGTACTCGTGCATCAACCCACGATCAATAGAGCGAGGAGCAACCTCTGCGCAAAGCATTCGACGCATGCATCGAACCATGGATTGCTGGAGAAGAGCAACATACCAACCTCACACAAATCTTGATTAAAACAAATATCAAAATTACCTAGAGTTTTTCATTTCAATACTGATCGCGGACCCTTATTCTTACACGATCTATCGAGAACGAAATTGGAATGAAATACCAAAATGTGATAGTTTCATTGCTTCACCTTATTGATATCAAAATTCCCACATGCTTGGATGGAATAGATCTCCTTTCATGGCTCATCCTAATAACATCCTTAGACTAATTAACCATTCTTGTCACTTTAGGAAAAAACACACAGAAGAAACTACCATTAACTTCTTACTGCCGGTTGCTTATCCTTTTTCTTTAATGGCGATCTTCTTCATTACTTAAACAATTGGGAGGGAAATCTGAAAATAATAGGGACGAGGAAAAGAACACAGTAACAGCACAAGCATTTGGTGCTTTGCCAAAAGTCAATGTCCGTTCCTCCCCCTGTTTCCGTTTAAACTAAAGGGAGCTTATCGTGGTGGAAGAATATGAGAGAGAGATAAGTAGAGAGAGAAAGAGAGAGTCAATTGAGAGGGAAAGAGAGAGAGAGAGACAGGAAGTTTGGGGATATCAATGCTGGGATGTTTTTGTTTTTGGATTTTACTGGCAATTTAGAAGAGAAGAAGAAGCTGCAATAAATGAGGTCTCTTTGATAAGTGGGTGAAAAGGGGGGTTTTCTCTTTAATTCGCTGTAAGAGAGAGAGTCAAAGAGTGAGAAGTTTTCATCAAGCTTTGTGGATATGGTGGTCTAGTGTCGTAAAAATCGAGTCTTTGCTCACCTCTTCTCCTGGGTTTGGCTTCTGATGCACCAAAAACAAAAGCTTCTCTGTCCAATCTATAGCTGAAACCCTCTGTCCCTTTTCCTCTCCCCAGGAAACCATTTTGAGACTCGGCGCCACTGTGTTGCGGTTGCGGAGCTGCTTGGCTAGGTTTAGGGATCTGGGTTCTAGGGTTTGACTCTCCCTTCTTCTTCTTCTTCTTCTTCTTCTTCTTCTTCTTCTTCTTCACCCCTTTTCTCTTCATGAATTCGTTTTCTGTAATTGGGACTCGTTTTTAAGCGAATTCCCGCTTCCAATTGCAAGCCCCTCTCTGTATTTCAAAAGAAAGTTGCATTCTTGAAGAAATATTCTTTATACAGTTTCCAGTTCCCCTGATCTGTGTTCGCTCACTGGGAAGCTGCTTTCCCTCTTTCTTCCCCCACTTTTCTCCTCTGATTTCCCACTCCTAGGGTTTCCAAGCTGATCACTGAATCGAAAATATCCTCAAGTTCCCCCCTTTTTCATGGGCTGAACTGAAACTTGACCATCTCGAAGGAGCTTGATAGTAGTAAGTGTGATGCATCTGTCACTGTGGAAGCCTATTTCCCACTGCGCTGCTCTCATATTGGACAAGAAGAGCAAGAGGAAAAATGGGTCGGAATCCGATCTCGAGATTTCCAGAAACCCATCAATTCTCCGGAAACTTCAAGAGCACAGGTTGAGGGAAGCGCTCGAGGAAGCTTCTGAAGATGGGTCACTCGTCAAATCCAAGGACATGGATGATTCCGAGGCGGCCGCTGCTGCAAGCAACCAAGACGAAGGAACAATCGGCCGATCGAGATCGCTGGCGAGGCTTCACGCCCAGCGGGAGTTTCTTCGTGCCACGTCCCTTGCTGCAGATCGAGTGTTCGAGACCCCAGATTCCATTCCTGAGCTTCATGAGTCGTTCTCCAAGTTCCTCACTATGTACCCAAAGTACGAGTCTTCTGAGAAAGTTGATCAGTTGAGGTCAGATGAGTACACCCATTTGTCTCCCAAGGTATGCCTTGATTACTGTGGGTTTGGGCTGTTTTCATACCTTCAGACTCTACATTACTGGGAATCTTCCACTTTTAGCTTGTCCGAGATAACTGCGAATTTGAGCAATCATGCGCTTTATGGTGGTGCTGAGAAGAACACTGTGGAATATGATATCAAGGCTAGGATAATGGATTACTTGAACATCCCTGAGAATGAATATGGCCTTGTTTTTACGGTGAGTAGAGGTTCTGCTTTCAAATTGCTTGCAGAATCCTACCCTTTTCACACAAATAAGAAGTTGTTGACCATGTTTGATTACGAGAGTCAGTCTGTGAATTGGATGGCTCAGAGTGCCAAGGAGAAAGGTGCAGATGTTTACAGTGCTTGGTTCAAATGGCCAACCCTTAAGCTTTGCTCAACAGATTTGAGGAAGCAGATTTCGAACAAGAAAAGACGGAAGAAGGATTCTGCCACTGGTTTATTCGTCTTCCCTGTGCAGTCGAGGGTTACAGGAGCCAAGTATTCTTATCAGTGGATGGCACTTGCTCAGCAGAACAACTGGCATGTGTTGCTTGATGCTGGATCATTAGGCCCCAAAGATATGGATTCACTTGGTTTATCATTGTTTCGACCTGATTTCATCATCACTTCGTTTTACCGTGTGTTTGGGTTTGACCCAACTGGGTTTGGATGTCTTCTTATTAAGAAATCTGTCATGAGTTGTCTTCAGCGTCAGTCTGGCAGTACAGGGTCTGGGATAGTGAAGATAACTCCGGAGTATCCTCTCTATTTGAGTGATTCTGTAGATGGTCTAGATGGGACGACTGGTGTTGAAGATGACGAGGTTATGGGAAGTGATGAAAATGGTACTACGGAACCGCGTCAAGGGACGCAGCTGCCTGCATTCTCCGGGGCATTTACACCTGCTCAAGTGAGCGATGTTTTTGAGACCGAGATGAGTCATGACAACAACTCGGATAGAGATGGGACGAGCACTATATTTGAAGAAACAGAAAGCATCTCTGTTGGTGAAGTGATGAAAAGCCCTGTTTTCAGCGAAGATGGATCGTCAGACAATTCGTTCTGGATTGATTTGGGCCAGAGCCCGTTGGGTTCCGACTCTGCAGCAAAACACAAGTCAACTGGCTCTCCGCTGCCACCTTTTTGGTTCTCCAGCAAGAAGAATCACAACAAGAGAAACTCAACAAAACTGACTTCAAAAATCTACAGCAGTCCACTGTATGATGACAAGGTGTTGTCATTTGATGCTGCGGTTTTATCAGTTTCTCAGGAGCTGGACCGTGTTAAGGAGGTTCCTGAAGTAGAGCAGTATGGCCATACAAACCTGAGAGAGGGTCTTAATCATATGCATGTTTCCGAGATTGAAGAAGAAGAACCAGCAAACGGGTTTCATAATGGCACTGACAAAATAGAGAGTGCTATAAGAAGAGAAACAGAAGGTGAATTTCGGTTACTGGGAAGAAGGGAAGGGAACCGATATTCTGGTGGTAGATTTCTTGGAGTGGATGAGAGTGAACATCCGAGCAGGCGAAGAAGGGTGTCATCTAGCGCGGAGGAGAGTCGTAAAGAACTCGTGACTGAGCCAGGGGAAGTATCTATAGCTACACTAGAAGATGATAATGACGTGTACACAAGCGATGGTGAGTTTGGTGAGGGGATGCAGGATTGGGATAGGCGAGAGCCTGAGATAAGTTGCCGGCATTTGGATCATGTGAACATGTTGGGCCTCAATAAGACGACTCTAAGGCTTCGATTTTTGATCAACTGGCTTGTGACTTCATTGCTGCAACTGAGATTACCCATTGCCGAAGAAGGGGAAGGAGGAGGAGGAATGCATCTTGTCCACATTTATGGACCGAAGATCAAGTACGAGAGAGGTGCTGCAGTTGCTTTCAACATCAGGGATAGAAACCGGGGGCTTGTGCATCCTGAAGTTGTTCAGAGGCTAGCTGAAAGAGAAGGGATATCTCTTGGCATTGGGTTTCTCAGTCACATACGAATCGTGGATGGCCCTAGACAGCATAAGAGTGGCTTGAACCTTGAAGACGCTACTGCCCTTTGCAGGGCGGTGGAGACTGGTGGTCGCGGAAAATCAGGTTTTATAAGAGTCGAGGTTGTCACTGCCTCGCTAGGGTTTCTGACCAACTTCGAAGATGTTTACAAACTATGGGTTTTTGCTTCCAAGTTTCTAAATCCTGGATTTACCAGAGAAGGCAGCCTTCCGACGGTTGAAGAAGGCGAAGAAACATGATGTATCGAACCACTCATTGTTCTTTTTTGTTTGCCCAGATGTGATGGACCTAATATCGAATCCATCCGAGAGTCAGAGCTGAAGATCAAAAGCCAGGGCTGGGAGAAAGCTGGTGCTGTTTCTATTTCTTTTGCTCTTCCTCGTGACTCTTCTGAAAGATGGCAGTTGGGTTGGGATGGATGGATTTGTTGATACTTGTTTGTTGTTTGATTGTTCTCTTATTTTCTCCTCTGGGTTCTGGGTTCTTTGTAGAGAGGGTGGGCTCAGATTTGTATTCTCACTTGAGAACGTATCTAAACAGCAGAATACATTGATCTCAAAAGGTTCCAACATTCTGCTTTGTAGGTTGTCTGTCTCTACACTGAAAAAAAGTTCAAATTTCTTCATGCTGCTGTAAAAACACCTCAACTAGGCAAGCCTGTTGTAGATTATAATACCCATTTCATTGGCACGTTTTAGATCCCTGCCAGCCACCCTGATTGTGGTAGGGAAGATCTCTATTTCTTATTGAACGTGCAAGCTTATTTGTTTGTTTAATAGTTTTTAGATGAGTTATTTTTAAATGGTCATTTGTATAATGTTGTCATTTGCTCTTACATTTAATATTTCATTATCTTGTTTCCTATCTTAATAAAAACCAATTCCAACTATTATGAGTCATGTATAATACTTATAATTTTAAAGAAGTTTTCATATTAAATTTCTTTGTAAAAAGTAACGACTCCAGTAGTCTCACATTCTAGCTAATTAAGACTCACCATACGGTTCGTTTGGATGGTAAATTTCCGAAACGAGGTAATTTTATCCAATTGTCTCACGATTGTCTCATCTCATAGTTGTCTTATAAAACGTATCATTTTACACTACTTATCTTTTCTTTGTCAATTTAAAATGATGCAAATACAAAACAATTCAAATTGACTCATCCTGATTGTTACATCCATATCTAGTGTTGCCAAACGTGGCTATTTGACCTAATCGCTTCATTTTGAGGCAATTGAACCAAATTGTCTCATCAAATTTCATCATTCAAACGACCTCAAACTTATGCAAAAACAAGACAACTTAAATTTTCTCATCACAATTATTACATCCACATTTTGTGTTGTCAAACCAAATTATTTGATCCAATTACATTATTTTGAAACGATTTAACCATATTATCTCATCCAACTCCACCACCTCTACCTACAATAACACCGATTTAACAACGTTGGTGTATCAACACGCCAGGAAACCTCAATACACTATACATCCTCATTTCCAGCAAACTCCAACCCCGCAGAAAACAGAACAAAAGGCAGGTAATGGCTGGAACAGGGAACGGAGAATGGAACAAGAGCAGCTCTGGTGGCTGCATTTAACCACCAGCTCCGCGACTTTAACGGTCACGAAAGGAGGACTGCTGCAGCGTACGAGCCGAAGATAGCCGAGCTTCGCAGAAAGATTCAGGAAGCTGAAGAGCAAGTTGAGCAGGAAGTAGAAGAGGCTCGCAGGAACTACCATGCTGCCTGTGCCAAACTACTGAAGGATTGGGTTGATGAGCAAGGAAGCGAAGAGTCACTTGAGGGAGATTCCGCTTCATTAGTAAAATCTAAGAAGACCAAATATGTCATTCACCGCATTATCTATGTTGGCTCCTGCAAGACGAGAGAACTGTGATAATGGTCAAAGTAGCTCAGAAGTGTATCGCCTTTTTACCTTAAGATCACCCACTACATACAATCACAATTCAGTAGTAATATAAATTGGCCAGATTAACTTTTACCATGGGAGGGGAACGCCAAGAGGCAATCGTTCATTCATCAAGTATACTTGCTGGCAAGCTCCAAAAGGTAAGTGCAGAGCTCATGTGGTTTTGAGAACATAGCCATGTGATCAGCTGAAGATATGGGCTTGACATCGTCAGTTGGGTTGTTCTCGATCATCCACCTCTGCAGATCCGGCTTGTAAATTTCGTCTGCTTCACAGACGACGTAAACTCGAGGAACCAATCCAAATTTCTCGCTTGTCAGGGCTATTTCAGCTTCTGTTTCCTCATCGTTGAAGAGAGGGCAGGGTCGTATTAGCATCATTCCCAGTGTTAAATCCTGTAGCATAGGACAGCAGTAGATCATCTGAATGCCTTGCAATTCATCAGCAATTCCAAATGTGCCGCGTATTAACATTAGCATTTACTTAACTCAGCACCTTCATACTATCTATAATTCATACTTCGCAATAATATCTACACCTTTGCAATCGCTAAACGAAATTGTCACTTAAGCTTCTCGCCACTTCCACGATTGTTAAAGTTTAACCGATAAAGAGGCTCTGAGGTAACTCCTGGTCTAGTAATGGAGGTAAAAATAGAAGATCGGGGTGTTCAGGGTGTTACCTCAGGTGGGGAGAGCTGGTACAATTTAGTTGACATCAGCTTTGGTCCAAACAGCATGCTGGTCGGAGGATTTTCAGGACCATTGTGGAATGAGAAGTGGCTATCCATGAAATCCATTCGCTTGAGACACTGCATAGAAGTTTTCCGTACTACGAAAGTTAATGAATTACAGAACGAGTCCAAGAGAAAAGCAACGATAAGACCACCAAAGGGGTAGGAGTTATTCGGAGAAAGATAGATGGGTAAACTAAAAGTCTGCAACTTATTGTACCAATAACGGATACGAGTCCAAGAGAAAAGCAACGATAAGACCACCAAAGGGGTAGGAGTTATTCGGAGAAAGATAGATGGGTAAACTAAAAGTCTGCAACTTATTGTACCCAAAACGGATAAAAGTTTGTAACTTTATACTCAAATCCAAAGTTGATTAAACACTCTAATACGATGTGAAACTGAAAAACCAATTTATCCAACAAAGAACGAGAAAGAGAAGGGGAAAAGCACCTCTTCTCTTGGAAAAGAGTAGCCGACACCGGGATGAGGAGCTGGCATAATAGCCGCTACATACACTGCAACAGATACTTTCTCTGCAAATATTTCCATTGCTACAGATATCGCAACACCACCCATACTATGTCCAACTAAGATCACCTTCTCTTCTCCTCCTGTTAAGGAAGCCATCAACTCCATCAGCGGCGCGAGGTAGTCCGAGACCGAACCCATCTCGGTAACCTGCTTTGGATGGATCCCAGAAGCGCCCAAGTCGAGAGCGGTCACTTTATAGCCAGCTTGTTTCAGTAAAGGAACAACCTTGTACCAACACCAAGCTCCATGGCAAGCTCCATGGACCAGCACGAAATGATGATGATGATGACGACTCTGTTTCTCCTCCTCCATCTGGCTCTTCTCTGCTTACAGAAACTCCCAACTTCCCCTCAAATTATGATATTTCCCTTCTCCTTGGGATGATGCTACGCAGTCCACAAACTTCCAAACCATCACAAGATAACCCACTTTTTCCTTTGGCTGAAATCATAAGTTTCCACTAATAAAGCCAAACGTCCATCCTGTCAAAACAATAAATCCTTCGGGTATATCAGACTATCCAGAATGACCCAATTCGTAATAACTACAGTTTGAATTACTACCTAACCTGCCTAGTGCCTACTCGCTGGGCCATGCTAACATGACCTTTGAAGTGACAGGAAACGCACCAAGTTTGACAATTCCTGAACCTCAGCACCAGAACTATCTCCTGGTACTTGAAAAATTCAATAGCAGAGTCCAATCAGCAACCAGAAACTTCTATTGACTACCAATAGGAACACCCGTCAGGCCGACCAGTGCGGCCAGTCCCACTCGGTCAGAAAAATTATGCAACTTCTGCAATTGCGTATAATGAAAGCCCGCAAGAGGAAGGAGCATAATTCGAAAATTTTACCTTTCGTCCAGAAACAAAGGTTAATAAGGTTGAAGAATCAGAGAACCTTCAAGGTTACTTGGAGCCACACCTTGAATATCGAGTTGAACTCTAGCAACCTATTATAATGATCTCTCCTTCAACTGGAAAAGATAGTTCTTTCTAAGCAAGTAGCCTAGGAAAAGCCATCGTGATTGCCGCAGAGTTCCTCAATTTTTGTCAACCTGCAATAAAGAACCAACCAACCATAATTCCTGTAAGAGACCGAGTACAATGAACTTGGTTCTGGAACGAGAAATATGATTTCATATTTCATACATATTTGTTTTCGTTTGTCACTAAGAAGAGAAAGGAACTCTGCCGCTTCTCCAGACATGGATCAACGGCCGCTTAATTATAGAAGAGAAAGGAACCCTGCTCCGTCAGCCCTCAGAAAGGTTTCGCCTTTTTCACATTAAGATCAACCACAACACATACAATTACACTTCAGTAGCACTCTATAAATTTGCCAGATCAACTTTTACCACGGGTGGCGAAGCCAGAGGCAATCGTTCACTCATCAATCATACTTGCTGGCAAGCTCCAAAAGGTAAGTGCAGAGCTCATGTGGTTTTGAGAACATTGCCATGTGATCAGCAGAAGATATGGGTTTGACATCGTCAGTTGGGTTGTTCTCGATCATCCACCTTTGCAGATCCGGCTTGATGATTTCGTCTGCTTCACAGACGACATAAGCTCGAGGAACTGATCCATATTTCTCGCTTGTCAGGGCTATTTCAGCTTCTGTTTCCGCATCGTTGAAGAAAGGGCAGGGTCTTATAAGCATCATTCCCAGTGTTAAATCCTGCAGCAAAGGACAGTAGTAGTAGATCATCTTAACCCTTGCAATTCATCAGCAATTCTAAATGTCGACCACTTTGTGTCACTTATCAACTTTAGCATTTACTTAATTAAGCAATTTCAATTTCAGTTACTGGGTCCATCGTAACATTTTGATCTTGAGGAGAACAAAGAATCAGCTTACTACAAGAAAGCGAAAGGGTTAAACTGTTTACAATATGGGGGTTTTCCCAGCACAACTTCATATTTGGGAATAAGATCTACACCTTCGTAATTGCTAAACAAAATTGCCACTTCAGCTTCTCGTCACTAAGTCAACCAATAAAGATGCTCTGAGGAAACTCCTGGTTTAATAATGGACGTAAATTGAAGACTGGGTGTTCAGGGTGTTACCTCAGGCAGGGAGAGCTGGTACAATTTAGTTGACATTGCCTTGAGTCCAAACAATACACTGGTCGGAGGATTTTCAGGACCATCATGGAATGAGAATTGGCTATCCATGAAATCCATTTGCTTGAGACACTGCATAAAATTTTCCGCATAATTTAAAGTTAATGAGTTGCAGATCAAGTCGAAGAGAAAAGCAGAGATAAGACAACCAAAGAGGTAGGGGTTGCTCGGAGAAAGATGATGTGTAAACTAAAAGTCTGCAACTTTCTGTACCCAAAAAGGATGAAAGTTGGTAACTTTATTACTCAAATCCAACGTTGATTAAAGGCTCCAATACGATGTGAAACTGAAAATCCAGTTTACCCAATAAAGAACGAGAAAGAGAAGGGAAAAGTACCTCTTCTTTTGTAACAGAGTAGCCGACACCAGGATGAGGAGCTGGCATCAAAGCTGCAACAAACACCGCAACAGCTACTTTCTCTGCAAATTTTTCCATTGCAGCAGATATCCCAACACCACCCATACTATGTCCAACTAAGATCACCTTCTCTTCATCTCCTGTTAAGGAATCCATCAACTCCATCAGCGGCGTGTGGTAGTCCGAGACCGAACCCAGTTCGGTAACCTGCTTTGGATGGATCCCAGAAGCGCCCAAGTCGAGAGCAGTCACTTTGTAGCCAGCTTGTTTCAGTAAAGGAACAACCTTGTACCAACACCAAGCTCCATGGCAAGCTCCATGGACCAGCACGAAATGATGATGACGACGACTCTGTTTCTCCTCCTCCATCTGGTTCTTCTCTGCTTACAGAAACTCCCAACTTCCTCTCAAATTATGATATTTCCTTTCTCCTTGGGATGATGCTACGCGGTCCACAAACTTCCAAACCATCACAAGATAACCCACTTTGTCCTTTGGCTGAAATCAAAAGATTCAACTAATAAAGCCAAACGTCCATCCTGTCAAATAATAGATCCTTCGGACGGCAGACTATCCAAAATTACCCAATTCGTAATAACTAAATTTTGAATTACTGCCTAACCTGCCTACTCGTTGGGCGATGCTATCATGACCTTTGAAGTGACAGGAAAGGCTGAAATACTGGGGAAGTTCAAGATGATTAACTTAAAAGCTGAGGAAATTTCGAAATCCAAGTTAGGCAATTCCTGAATCTCAGTACCAGAACTAGATCCTGGAACTTTGAAAAAGTTAATGGCAGAGTCCAATCGGCAACCAGAAACTTCTATTGACTATCAATAGGAGCACCCATCAGGTCCAACAGTGCGGCCAGTCCCACTCAGTCAGAAAAAATTATGCAACTTCTGCAAGTTTGTATGATGGATGCCCGCAAGAGGAAGGATCATGGTTCTCTCTTAGCAAGCACTCTAGAAAAAGTCATCATGATTGCTGCAGAGTTCCTCAAATTTTGCCAACCTGCAAAAATGGACCAACCAAACACAATTTCTGTAAGAGACTGTGTACAATGAATTTAAGTTGCTTCAGGAAAAGGCAGAGAAAGGGACTCAAGGTGGATAACGCACCGTTGTATGAGAGCTTTAGGGTTATACGGAAACAGATTCTTCCGGTGAAGATTTTCTATAGAAACTTTCAAAGATAGCAGACAATCTTTCGCCTCGATGAATGCAAGCCTTATGCATTCGTTTTGCTTACAACTACTGTCAGTGTCTATCTTAACTTTATCATTAAGAGAGGGATAAGTGTCCATGGTTGGCGATGCAGAGGGTTGGTCTGCCTGGAAGTCAGGACCATCTTCCAAGATTTTTTGCTTTTTTCGAGATAAATTATGCATAGCATTTTCGTCAACGGAGAACTCTATGAATAAATGCCAGGCACTGCATGTAACCCTTAAACACCTAAAGATCAAGGGTGATTGATCAGCAGAGCAACAGATTGAAAGAGTCAACTTATGACAACTGACTCTCAGGATTGATGAGTTAAGACTACACTGTCCAAACTGCAAGTTACCTTAATAGGTACTCTGCACAACTAATTCCAAGATCCTTGGAAATAAGGTAATCAAGCAGCACTTGATGATCATAGTGCAACTACAAGAGAATGAGAAGTATTTAGAAGATCAAAACAAAAAGGCAGAGAGGTCTTGTGGCCAATTAATACCAAAGCCTATATATAATTGGGAGTCACCTCTGAGAGTAATAGATGGAATAAGTTCACTGGACTGAAAGCATTTGAAACTAGAAATCCAATATACTCTTCTGCATCCTGATATGTTTGTTTCTTTCCCTCTAACCTGTATCAGGCAACCAATTAGGTTTTTATAACAGTGAAATAAATTGAACTAGTTATAGTCAATACTCACTGCTGCTCCAAACAAGAAGATGCAGTAACCAACTGCAGGAGAACCTTAAACAATAAGTCATCCTGCACCGATATCAAACAGTAATTAGAACATGCGACGTGGCAAGAAATCCTTGATTTGCTAACGCCTATAAGGGTCTAATATAAAATACATTTGCTAAGATTTTCATGTAAGAGACATCAATCTTAAGAGAACATGGTCTATTGTAGCCAACTAATCCCTGAGTTAAGAAGCTTCTAACCTCATGCAAGTATAGCTGGAGAAAAGATCTTGCAAAAAGTATACACTTGTCCACGTGCATTTCCTTTCCACATAAGAAGCTATCTCGGAGGTGGGCTTGGAACCATTTGTAGAGCTCAATAAATCCTTTACTTCTACCAGAAAAATCAGGGTCAGAGACCATGTTGACAGCCGAGAGAGAGTTATGAGCTTTAAGAAGTTGCTTGGTATTCTCTCCTGTCGAGCTGATCAAACTGAAGCAGCACCTAAGAAATAGGAGTATGGCCTGCCTTTGAGAATGAAGGGAATGCCCCATGTGTTGTGCTTCTCCCTCAGAGACGCTAGACAGAAACGGGGAGCCTTCTAGGCAATCATTTTGACAAGTCTTAACCTTAGACATGGGTTTCAAAAGTAGCTCTTCAAAGTAATCATGGAGAAGTTTCAACCAGGAGACAAGTGTGGTGCAACTTATATGAGTTCCATAACTAAGCCTCAGCAGTAACATCTGCAGAAAAATGTTGCAGATCTCAAAAACCTGAACCAGTCAATCAAAGACACAGCATAAAACTTCATGACAACAGCATATCACAATGAACCAGTAAAACAGTGGAAACTATCTATCATTATATAATGTCTTGGAATGCTTTTCGAGACAAGAAATCCTACTTTCTACTTCGAATTAATCTACCCATGAAAATAAATGAAGCAAGGTCTTACCAGCAATTTGTGAGTGAAATACTGAAAGGTGGACTGTTTGGCCCTATTCTCTGCCTTGCCAAGGCACCAAAGAAAAAGTTTAGGCACAAAATTAATAACTATGGGAAGAGTTGAATGTTGATCTTGGAGATGGACTTCAGATTCTGAAGCTACAGTTTGCTCAACCAATGAGCAAAGAAATGAGATCAAACTACCCAAGAACACAACTTTTGGCTCTTTTGTACAGAACTCGTCCATCCGAACCCAGGGCACATTTGACAGAAAAGGATAGACATATTTGTTGTTAACTCGAAGAAGCTGACCATCAGACTCTTCCTTCAAATTTTTCAGTATATTCCGCAAGATTTGGATTACATGAGATGCAGTGGACCAGTCTGCATTTCCCAGACAACGATTTAAGAACATTAGACTTGAGGATCCAAAATGCAAATCCTCATTGGCATTTGAAATTGGAGAACAGGACAACAGGTGTTTGACAATCAATTCCAGACACATCCAGAGCGAACGAACCAAAGAGTCCCAGTTACTGACCTGTCAAAACATTCACAAACGATTTTTGAAATTATGAATTGTTATGTACCCTCAATAGACTGACAATGGAAGCAAACCACAAACTCACAGAAGGAGCCAGGAGCTCAGAAACAGCCACAACAATCTTTCCCGCCGAATGTTGTACGTATTGACTGTCAACTGTAAGTAGAAGAATCTGCATCCCATAGGAAATGACAATGTTAGACAACGCAACTTCAAATAAATTAACAAGCACATAAGTAAATGATACATCCAAATTAACCTCGCTCAATTGAATAGATTTAACTCTACATGTTCATCTTATCAAAGCAACTTCAGGCGCAGTCAGTGAGTGGAGAGAGTGCTTACCAAGTCAGCTAGGACTTTCATCAAACAGTTATGCTGCTCATGTGCATCCGCCGATAAACATTCAGAAACCATGGTCTCCTGTTCAGAAATTCATCTCAGAAACCTTAAGCTTCCATCTGGAAACCAACTTGTTCATAGAAATTCAGTGGGGGGGGAATCAAGGAGCTTACTTCATCGGAATCAACCTCCATTTCACGAATCCAGACCTGAATCTCTTTGTAAACCTAAAATGGCAGAACACTTTCAAACTACTAATCACATTTGGAGCATATACACAACAAGGGAGGAAAAGTGCAGAACCTTAGAGAGTGAAATCAGAAGGTTCTTCTCCTTTTCTCTGGTTAAAGACACAGAACCAGCGTCCGGCTCCTGTAAAAATAGCTGCGGGCTCAGTTGTTTTAACATAAACAATTCAAGCGAACGGAAAATCTAGCTCGAATCGGGAAATCAAATTAATAAACAACTAACGAAGTAAGGACGAAGGAGCTCCTCGACCAGACGGCAGAGACGAGGCAATTCCCAATCGCCGGTCATTCTTTCGTGGTGTCGTACGCTGCCGTGCCGGTGCCGGAGACGGAGACGGTGAAAATTTCTATATTTATAGGTTAATCACTTCGGAGAAACGCAGCGTTTTGGAGACAAATGTAATATTGAAAAGACTTCCTTGTTTTGTATCCGGATTTCAAATACTAGACGGTTTTATGGACTTTTGGCGGGTGAACGGAAGACGGTTGCTTCATGCCGCCATTAACAACCCTCATACAGAACTGCACGGTTGTGACCTCGCTTAAGAGAGCTCGTCAGCTCCATGCTCTGATCCTTACAACCACAGTCTACACCAACGATGCACTCTCTTCGTACAGAAACAACAACATCGTGTCTATGTACGGCCGATGCGGCTCCATCTGGGAAGCCCAGCAGGTGTTCGACCGAATGCCTGTGAGAAACACTGTATCCTATAATGCGCTTCTTGCAGCCTATTCTAAATCTCCCTGTCTTGGAATGAGATGTATAGAGTTGTTTAAGGATATGGGAAGTGAAGGGCTGAGACCTGGTGGGTCGACTTTCGTCAGCTTACTGCAAGCTTGCTCTGCGCTCGACGATTGGTTTATGGGTTCTTCAATTCACTGTCAAGTTTTTAAATTTGGTGGGTCGGATGATGTCTCCATTCAGACATCATTGCTTGGGATGTACTCGAAATTTGGGGATTTGAAGTCTGCATGCCAAATTTTCGACGGGGTGGTTGTTAAAGATGCGGTCATGTGGACAGCCATGATGTTTAACCTCTTCAAGAATGAGAAGTTACATGAAGGGCTTCGTCTGTTCAATTCCATGTTGAAATCTGATGTCAGCCCTACTCAGTTCACATACTCAACGGTGCTAAATGCTTGTGCTAAACTGCGAGAATACATCGTTGGAAGGACGATTCACTCTCGAGTTATTGTTTCGGGTCTGCCACATGATTCAAAACTGCAGAACGCTTTGCTCGACATGTATTCCAGTTGTGGAGACATTGGAACAGCTTTCGATGTCTACAGTAGGATCGAGGAACCAGAGTTAGTTTCCTGGAACTCTATAATATCAGGATGTGCAGAAAATGGCGAGTCAAGAAAGGCAATGGAATTGTTTATACAGTTACTGAGACTTTCGGTTCCTAAACCAGATGATTACACTCTGGCAGCCATTATTTCTGGAACTGGAGATGACTATGGGAAAGCTCTCCACACCCTGGTAGTGAAAATGGGATTAGAGAAGAATGTCTTCGTAGGAACTACCTTGCTGTCAATGTATTTTAGAAACAGTGATTCCGAGTCAGCACGAAAGGTCTTTTCTTTCATCGAAGAGAAAGATGTTGTTCTCTGGACTGAGATGGTTATGGGTCATTCTAGATTGGGCGATGGGGAGACTGCAATAAAATCATTCCGGGACATGTGCAACGATGGCCTAAGAAGGGACAGCTTTGCCTTCAGTGGAGGTCTGAGTGCATGTGCCGATCTGGCAACACTGAAACAAGGAGAGATGATTCACTCCCAGGCAATAAAAACAGGATGTGATGTTGAAATGAACGTCTGCGGAAGTCTCGTTCATATGTATGCCAAAAATGGTAATCTGCAAGCTTCTCGGTCAGTGTTCTCCCAATTTTGGCTCCCTGACTTAAAGTGCTGGAATTCTCTGCTTGGTGGATATGGTCACCATGGAATGCCGGTGGAAACATTGAAACTCTTCAAAGAGATGCTAAAACATGGCATCCAGCCGGATCATGTGACATTTCTGACCCTATTGTCCGCTTGCAGCCATGGCGGCTTGGTGGAGGAAGGAATGATGTTGTGGAATTCCATGAAGCAGAAAAGTGGGACTATTACCCCAGGGCCTAACCATTACTCCTGCATGGTGAGTTTACTTTGCCGGGCAGGATTGCTAGAGAAGGCCGAAGAGGTTATACAAGAATCAGCAGCAGCATCTCATTCATTAGAGCACAACTTGGAGATGTGGAGAACCCTACTGAGTGCTTGTGTGGATAAGAGGAATTTGGGATTAGGAATTCGAGCTGGGGAGGAGGTATTGAGATTGGATAGTGATGACAGTGCGACACATGTTCTGGTCTCGAATCTGTATGCTGTTACAGGGAGATGGGATGGAGTTGCTGATATGAGAAAGAAGATGAGAGGAATGATGCTGGAGAAAGAAGCTGGGCTAAGCTGGATTGAAGCCCAGCATGGTGGCATTCAGGCATTCACTTCTGATGATCAAACTAGTTCTGTGATTAATGAAGCTCAATCAGAAGTATGGAGATTGCGAGGGAACATGGGAAGGTCAGAAGTCGATGATCTTGATGCCAAGGATTGTTCTACGCAAGTGGTTGAAAAGGAGATGTGTTGCTTGTTATATCCATCCCAGCAAAGCAATAGATGACAGTGAACAATTGCTTGTTATAGCCAATTTGGTCCATTCCAGTATTCACTTTGATCTTCTTTGTTTATAGTCAAATCAAACTATATTCAACTATGAACTATTCAATCGAAATGTCTATTCAATCCAATTTAGCACCCTGTGCCTGTAAACCAAATCCTTGAACTCACTTGATTTTATGCTCACAGAACGAAGTCATACAAAAGATCAACAAAAACTCTTTAATGATCCCTCAATGGGCAATTTCAGATTCCTTGACATAATTGAGAGAAGACTAGCTTTGCCGCTTACATTTGTTCCAGAGTAATGTTCAATCAAAGACGATTACTACTATTATGCCTATCGTAATCGTACAATGTTACAAGATGATAGATATATTCTTGTCGGTGCCCCGCCTTGAGAATTGAAGGGCAATGGAAATGAATCAATCAAGTCGAATGACTTCAAGGACATTTCTACTTGTAGCTGCAGATATAGGTATTCCAGCAGATTTTTCCAGGGTGCATCAACATTGTATAGCATGTCACTAGCGCCTGCTAGTTCTCGATTTTGGCTTAGCTGATCTCTGCAACGCGTGTTAAGGGCGAAAGAGGGAAGAAATCAGGTGTATAGCTATAAGTCCACAAAACCAAAGCAACATACATAATATCACGACTGGCAAACAATACAAGGCAGATTACAAAAGAATGGCTACTTACCGATCCAGTTAAGCTAGCTCCAGATGCTATAGCTGCACCTGGTTCAAACAGACAAAAGACAAATTAGGGAATTGCAATTAAGGGCGGCTAGCTGGTTTCAGTTTTTCGGATAATCAAAAAGAAAAAATTATTTAACCGAGAAACAGGGAGGAAAAGAATCCAAGTTCAGAAAATTCCGGCAAAAATTAGAAAGCACGAAATACTGGTTTATAATGGCTGGTCAGTGTGTTTGACTAAGTGTTTCATTTTCCAGTTAACCGATAGGATTAGCGGTTCTGGCCCATTGGTTTCAGGAAGCAAACTCATCAAATAAGAACAAGAGCAAGCATGTTTCAGAAAGCATTACATATCCTAACCACATAGGAAACAAAACCAACACTTAAAACTTGTAAACAGGACTATAGTGTAGTACTATAGAGAGCAAGAATCACAAATATCAGCATACCTGAAGCAAATGGATTTGGAAATGGGGAGCTGGCAGCAGCAGGGGTGGTGGTAGGAGCAAAGGCTGAAGCAGGATTAGAAAACAACGATGGAGTAGAAGCAGGACTGAACAATGATGCTGATGATGTCCCAAACAAAGAAGATGTAGGCGGCGCAGATGGTGTTGGTGTACCGAACAAAGAAGAACCCGACATAGAAGACACAGGAGCAGAAGATGATGGTGTGCTGAACAGAGATAACCCAGTCCCTGAAGGAGCTGCTGGTCCTGCTGCTGCTGCCAAAGATGTATGCGGAGCAGTTGATGATGCAGCAGGTGCAGGTAGCAACCCAGCAACTTGATTCGAAGGCTGAGAATTTGATGCCGGCAAATGCAGAGTTGGATGAACTCTCTTAGCAGCAGCCTCTTGTTTCGCAGTCTCACGACGATCCGCCTCAAGAAACGGGTCATTCACATCACCTCGACGCCGCTGGTCCGCAAGGTAAGCTGTCCTCATTGATTCGATATACTGATGTATGCTCTCCACCTGTAGAGACAGAAAAGCAAACATTAACCATTCAGAACCAAGTTTCATAACCTTTCTATGCCACATCATTCTCCACAGGAAACCTGCAACAACCACTTGACCCTTCCGTCTAACTATGGACACCATAGAATTTCATGTAAGAATACAAATGGAATGACCAAAACTGCACATTCATCCAGTGGCGTATATTAATCGATCTTGTTCCGTAAGTTCATCAACTCTAGGGTTTCATAAACCCTAATCCAGCCAACTTACTTGTTGAAGAAGTTACCTAGACTATGATGGAAATTTTTCTTGTTTTTCATTCTAAATCAAATACATTATAGAAGATTAAAATCCGTAATCCCTAAAAGTTATGAGAAAAGATTTAGGAAAGCAAACTCAAAATAAATCAGGCTCCAACTTTGGTTACTCTCAACCCCTAAACTTGAGGTACTTCTTGTATTGGAGTTTTATCACTGATCCAATCGAACAATGGCTTGTACTTCTGGATTCTAAAGCTAGAGGGTCTTATGAGTCCAACACCACTGACACCATGCATTTTGGATAGATATGGAGCCAAAGAGAACACAAGCACAACAAGAAGCAAAAAGTGAAAGATTTATCAAAAGGTGCAAACATTAGATGTTTAAAGTCATCCCATCCAGCAAGGCCAGCATGCATTATGAAATGAAGAGTTGGAGAGTATCAATCTTCCTCACCTTAGAAGCTACATGGACGAAAAAGTCATGCACATTTGACATGACCTTAGGGAGAGACTGCAGCAATGTGGATTCAGGGTGGGAAGAGTTCCTGTAGGAATCTAAAAGGAGAAGCTGCTCCAACTCTTCAATCCATTGCCGACATTCACCCAAGTACTTCTCGAATCTGACAACTGTTTGCTGTAGGAAGGGAGACGGCTTTTTTGGAAGCCCACTGTAGAAATCAAATACAGGTCCTAGGGAAGTAGAAGATGGTTGGCTGGCAGAATTTGGTGGCTGGGATGGAGCAGTGACATTGGAAGAACCGCCTGCAGTAGGGTGGATAAACCTTGGACGGAGCATCATGAAAGAACGGACAGCCATCTCTGTATTTCTTAACATGTCTTTGACATTGGACATGAGCTCATGCAGCACAGCTTTTTGTCTTTCCATGGCAGTGTTAATCCCCCCAAGTTCCTGTTGGAGGAAAAAAAACAATAAAAATATGATGCCAAAGCTTTCAACATATAACATATTTTGTGAGGCTGGCAGCAAAAAAGATGACATTTTTTTTCTGCGAGTTCCTTACATTTGGGAAATTCTTGCTCAGTGCGTTTACTTAAGTGTATTTTCAAATGAATGTCCCAATCGCGAACTATTCCATCACATTATATTATGTGAGATGTATTTTCAAAAACACTGCTTTCTTCAGTGCATTTGTACAAGAAATGGTGCTAGTATAGTTAAAATAGGACCTACTTTTCTATAATGCAGCTTCAAATATGTCATTCCTCCCAAAGTATTTGATATGCATCATTTTATTGCATTTGAAATTGCATCTGAAATCCCGAACATACTCAAATACTTTACGAAAGGATCAACGAAACCAATATATTTATTTTACTGCGTGCAATTACAAAATAATTCTCCCACAAGCAACCCAACCAAACAACCTGGTTGTGTGGTTAATGTGACAGCAAGTTCACCTCGTTTGAAGAAAGTATCATTGCAGCAAGCTCAGGTAAAAAACTAATTACAAAAAAGTCCCATTCCTTTCCTCCCTTTTTGGCTCTTTCTCATTACTGAAGTACAAAGCCCATAAGGTATAGAACAGGTATTAATATAGCAGAAGAAACAGCAATCAGCAGCTATATGTCACAGACCAGAAGGTAAAGGCAAAATACCTGAACAATATGGCTGGCATCAAGCTCGAACCCTTCATTCAAGACTGATGAATCGTAAAGACGGCTACACTGATCTAGCCTGTTACTCTCATCCCTGTGCTCCAATATCCGCTCCCTACAGCTCAGAACCATTACCCATCAACAGCACCAAATTAGTCGCAAAATTGAGCTACAGAAAACTGAATCGAAAACCAAGAAGTAACTTGACCAAATTCTAATTGCTCAAGTCTGGTCTATTCAGACCATGGAGAAGTTGAAAGACAAAGCTTCATCAGATTAAATACACCTATAAGTTCCTTCTAAGTTCTAATGAACAATTAATATAAAACAAACGATCTTGGTACTACATTCCATTGGCTTAGCAGCTTCCTTCAAAAGCCAAAAGAAGAACAGCCAGAAAGCTAATTAGATGGACGATTACCCTTCAAAGAAATTCGCCAGTTCAAGAAAAACTGAAGAACAATCGAACATTTAACAAAGAACTACCAGCGGCAAACTTCAAAGAACTGAAATCCCAAAAGAGAACAAGTAAACATACTCGATTAGGAGCAGAAGCTTCTGGGAATCCGGATGAAGATCTGCCCACTTAGTGCTGTAAGTAGCAGGAGCTTTATCATTAGTAAAAAGAAACAATTGTTGCTGCTGAGTTTGCTGTTGCAGCTGTTGCTGCTGCGGCTGAAACAGCTGAGATTGTTGTTGTTGCTGTTGTTGTTGCTGCTGCGGAAAGAAACTGCTGGAGAAAGGCTGTTGCTGTTGTTGCTGCTGCGGCTGAGACTGGAAAAATGATGGGGTCTGCTGCTGCTGCTGCGGAGTCGAGAACGAGAACGCCATTACAAGGCTCCTCTTCCTTTTCTTGGCTCAAAGTTTCAAGCTTTGAGATGTTGTATCTTGTGGGTCGTCCCTTCCGTTAGCATTGGGCGGGATTGCGGAGAGGGAGGATATGGGGAAGAAAGCACACTCTCCGAAACCCTAACAGAGAGGGAAAAAATTTCCCACTGGAAATTGGAAAAGGCCCGCCTCTGGGGAAAGATTGGTTCGGGCAAAACGAAGAAGGAAAAGGTCAAAAAGGATGGTAATGTGCTGTATTTTAATACAGTGGGGTCCTATAGAGAATTATGTTAAATTTGAGGGCTCATTTAGAATAATTGGCATCAGGGATTGGGCTGGGCTATTATGGGCCTGCTTTGCAGTTCTGAGGAAGGCCGGTTCTATAATGGGCCCGTTTTGCAAGGAATCGAGTCTGCCGAGCAAATGGACAACATAAACATAGACATTTTCACTATGTTTGGCAACAAGGGGGTGCAAGTTCGAGGGGGGTGCAAGTTGAGGGGTAAATTGTTGGGGGGTGCAACTTGGTGGAGGGTGTAAGTGGAAGGGTAAATTGTTGTTTGGATGAAAAAGTAGGGGGGTGCAAATAGAGTAAAAAGTAAGTAATTATATTATTATAAAATAGATTTATCAATTTATAAAATATTATCACAAAATAATAACATGAAAATTCAATATATAATAATAATAAATAATAAATAAAAATAATTTTAATAAAAATAATTATTATATAATAATTCTCAAATATAATTATTTATAATAATAATAATAATCATTGGTCGAGCAACCTCGAAACTCAAAATCCAACTCGTAACTGGTCATCCTAAGGGGGTTCTCGTGTCTAACTTTAAATTGAATATGGTCAAACTTAGTCAAACACGTTCGAATCTATAAGTTTTAACTACTTATTAAAGTAAATCGAGTTAACTAAACTGTTCCTCTCTATCTTTTCAACAAACGCTTCTTATCTCTAATTTTCAATGCAAATTCGGGTCAATTAAGAGATATCGATTTGACTAGGCGAACATTGACAAACTTGCTCTCCGAGTCAAATGGTCAACCCCAAACAACTTCTACACTAATATAGATATAAGAAAAAATTAATAATATTAATTATTATGTAATTATAATCTAATTAAAAATCCATAATTCCCCTCCTCCCCCTTCCCCCTCCCTTCCTTCCTTCCCTTGCACCCCAATTTGGGGGGTAAGCCGAAATAGTGAATTTACGCTCACGTTTTGCACCCCCCTACTGTTACAAAATAACCAAACGGGGGTAAACACCTTGGAACTTGTGTTTACCCCCCAAACTTGCACCCCCTTCCATTTACCCCCCTTCCCAAACATAGTGTTTATGTGTTTAAATTTCTGTTTTCGTATGATTTTATTACCAATACGTTCATTATTTTTTTTTATTTGATACCTCCCGTATTAAACATGTATTAAACTCGTATAACATGTTTACTATTTGTATTTGACGAATTGAATTGATAATTGGAATATTATTTATATATTTATTTCTAAAATAATTATTTTCATATATTTTATTAGTATTAAAGTACCATTAGACTTAACATTAATTTAGAAATGAAGCAAAATACCAATACATATTTTATACTTAACTTACACATATCGTATTTTACTAACTATGCTTCATAACTCAATTTCATTCATTAATGTAGTAGGATTTTGTGGATTTTGTTTTTAGAGGATTGGGGGTGTGTTTATGTGGGTTTTTAGGTGGTATTATGACTTTTCGTAATTTTTTTGCGAATCATATCTCATTTTTTAACTCAAATTGCGTATTAAAATTATATGCTTTGTGTTCTAATAGAAGACATCTATTTTGAAATTTTTTAGCATGTTGTTCCCGCCCACCAGGATGCACCTGAAGGGAACCTGGTCGGCGTGAGGCCCGATGTTGTTTTTAAGCCAGTCGAGGGCCACGTTTGGCCGTCCCCGGGCGATGCGGATAACGTCCTGGTTCCCCACGCCGACCATAACCTGGACCCCCTGGTTTCTGAACGCCGCCACCAGGTCGCGGTCCTTGTACCCGTCGTAGATCCGGACTCGTCTAATCTGTTTCCTCAAGACTTGTTTTGCTATGTCCTTCGGCTAGGGCACGCTTCCCTGCCTTGCTAGGGTCACTCCGATGCCCTGAGCCCATACATACATACCATGGTGCAAACAGTCAAATCTCGAGTTCTGTTCACTATGTAAGCACGAGATAAGATTACTATGTAAACACGTACTTGCACCCATGACTTACCTACTAAATGTTGGGGTTGGGAGAACAGAAGGTAGCGTGTGACAAAGAGAACCAACTGATGTACTAAGAAAACCATACTTGTTGTAGAAAGATGGACATAGTAAGACTTGTCCTAATTCGTATTAATAATCAAACGAGTTTGAGGAAGTGTTTATCATATTCTCACGAAGCTGAAGATTATGATGGCTTCATTTTAGTTTAGTGGAGGAATTTTTTTTTTTTTTTATAACGGGGAAATATATGATATTGCTCTTATCTCCATTGGTTACAGAATAAGGGCCAAGTGGATCAGTTTATCTTTGTAAACCTAAAAATAGAGAGAGTTTGGTAGTTAAGTTTGTTTTCACTAAAGTTTATTAATTGGGAGATTCCTAATTGCTTGCCAAAAGACTCGAGTCTACATGTACTACCAATTTTACCCCCCTAAAAAAATGAAAACAATTATCCAAGCATGCGTGTTTATCTAATATCTCTATTTAAACTTGGTCAAAAATATTATATGTTTTCCCACAATAATTGATAGTATTAGTCCAAAAATAGTATGTGTTTTCCCGCCTTAAAAGTTAAAGTAAGTGCAAGGTGATCATTCATGTGAAAGTGGGGCTATCATAACTCGATTAACAAAACCATAACTCGATTCGATCCAGCTCGAATTCGCCTGATTAAAAAAAAAAATACAATACCCTAATTTAAGCCCTCTCTCTCTCTCTTTCCTCTTTGTTATCAAAGGTTGAGGAAAGGATTCGCCGGCGACCCATTGGGATAAAACATTCCGTACCACTTGTACAACCCGTTGTTGTTCTTGTCCTGGACGTAGAGCGTGTGGATGAAAGTCTCCACCGGCCAGTTGGGCTTCAGCGGCGTCCCGACGTTGTTCCTCAGCCGCTCCGCCAGGTTGTAGATGTACTCGCCGGCCAGCTTCGGGGTGGCGTATTTGACGGTGGAGCCCGACGCCCAGCCGGTCTCGCCGACGATCACCCGCATCGTGATCCCGAGCTTGCTGAGGGACGTGTAGAAGGCGTCCAACAGGCCGTCCATCATGTTGGTGTACTGGAGGCCGTTGTCCGTCACCGCCGGCGAGTCGCCGTTGAGGAGCGCGTAGTCGATGTTCATGCCCTTGTACTCGTAGTATGGGTCCGTCACGTACCTTCAAAAAGCAAAAAAAAACAAAGAGGTTGGAACCACTTTAAATATGTATATTCGGTTCGGTCTGATTAACCGAATCGTTAAGACTGAAACAAAAATCGAAGCAACAGGTAATTCCCCCAAACCGAAACCGAAACGTTAAAGGAGATAATCGGTTTTTCGATTTATGAAATTCCGATAAGCCTCTCGAAGAATCTGTTTTTGGTATGAAGAAAAAGCCAAACCTGAGTAAGGGTGCATCAAGCAGTTAAACCTTACAAGCTCTACATTACTCCTACCAAAAGAGTGTGTTTCGGTTTCTTTATTGTTTTTTCGGTTCAAACCAAAAGTGAAAATGTACTATCTGGGACCAAAAATCCGAAACCATTATGTGTCCTTAATGGTTCGGTCCCGGATTAACTCGAAAAAAAGCAAAACCGCGATATCCCAGCCGCCTAAACCACCACTTCTCCTTACACACTTGCTCCTCGAACGAAAGTCAAACTGATAATATGCTTGAAATTTGTACAGATCCACCACACATGATCAATGTGTTTTCAAATCCAACGGTTCAGATTGAGGTCACAATGACTCCAACACGTGACACATCACTATAAAAACCAATGTTATTATCACGTCATAAACCAACTGACCTCGTAACTCGAATCGTTAAAGTACGTACCTTATCATGGGGAATATGGAAACAACAAGTGTCCCCATATTATGCTCCATGAACGTCAACAACGGCCTCAGCACCGGCAATATAGCCCCGTCGAACGCCGCCGCCGACGGCGGGAAAGACTCCGCCAGCGCCGCATTATCCAAATCGATCCCCAGCGAGATATCGAGGCCGAGCCTCTTCTGCGCGGCCTGGACGTGAACCATGGCCTGGAGCAGCGTCGAGATCTCGTGGTTCCCCTGCAGCGCCATCTTCGACCCGAGCTGGAGGCACCGGAAGCTCACCCGGCCGTAGAACGGCTTGATGTTGGACTCCAACCACTTGGCGGCCTCGTTGGACGAATCGTCGGCGGCGACGCGGCCGACGTCGGCGTTGCTCATGCCGACGAGGACGTCGACGCCGGTGTCCTGGAGGGCGGTGAGGAGGTCCCGGTCGTAGAAGGCGTCGTAGACTTTGGCACGCTTCATGGACTTCTGGCGGAGGAGCCACATGATGGATTTGGGGGACGGCGGGGATTGCATCTCCCGGGCTAGGGTTACGCCCAGTCCCTGGGCGTCTGCTGCATGCATGCACGAGAAAACACATGAATTTTTTTTTTATATAATTAAATTGACTTGGACGTGTCGTCAGAAGACGACGGTCGGCTAACTCTATAAGTTCTGCAGAGCATTTTTTTTAATCATCATTAAACTGAACATGCTAGCGTATTGGATGGATGGATGGATAGGGTTACAGGGTTAGAGACTGGGTTGTGCTGACATCATCGGGGTGATGCGAGGCATTGTGATTTCTGTGCGATGGATGTGCATGAGGTGATTTTTTTCACACATAATGTGTGGATATATAGAGATGAGTCAGATGTCTGTGCGAGTCGCGCCTTCTTCCAGATTTTATTGGACGACATGACATTCTCGTTCAAATATAGACCTATGTACGTACTTGTGATGGTTGCCATACTAACCCTAACTTCGGTCAACACGCTAGCCAAAGGTGGGAAAGAAGAAGAGAGTGATGGAATTTCTTTTACCTGCAAAATGCTGGAAATGGGTAAAGAAGAGGAAAAAACTTGTGGTGGAGATAAGGAGTGGATTCATTAAGGAAGTCATGGTGAACCCAAATCGCTGAATTTCAAGAAACTGAGGAGAGAATTTTGGTGGAATGAATCTCAATTATGGGGGGTGGCTTTTATATAAGAGGAGGGCAGAAGAAAATTGTTTGAAAGGATTACAAACTTTTAAGTGGGAAGAAGAACCGTTGTCCTGGTCCCATTGCGGAAGTTACGTACGTTTAATTTCTACTGTGAACTAAAAACAGGTTTTGTTCCTTCCAATTTGTTAGGGGAAAATTAAGGTTGGTGTTTCTGAACTAGAGTGGTTTAATTTGGTTGGATTATAACTGATAAGCATTTATCAACTGTTTATCAATTCATGTTTATTGTTACCTAGCTAGTATTGTCTTATGAATCAATTAATCTACAGTTATGATTTAGTTGTTTTAAGTTCCTTATGTTTTCGCCAATTCATTTATAAGAACAAATTTGTGGTCGTTTAATGTAAGTTTATGAAATTATAAGTAAGTATTTATTTCTCAACAAAACAGTTAACATTCTTGCTCAGTATCTAACATTCAGAATTGTATATACCAAGTAAGATATCCATTTCCTGTGAAGATTAAATTAACATCGCGAAATATTATTATGAAAAAATCAAACACAATTTTATGTTTAATTCAATGTAACACATTTGAAAAGCCATTAAAAGATACATGTAAAAAAATTAAAATAAAGAAGGGGAACAAATAATGAATATTATATATACTATCGATCTTTCTTTTCATCCCAAGAAATGCATATCTCCCGAATCGTCGATCGAGCTTCTATTTGAGGATGTTCTATGGAACTTGCACATTCGCAAAATGCCAGCTCAAATGATTAGGGATTGGAATAGGGCTTGGTTATATATTGAAAGAAGGGTTGTAGATCCATTCTGCAAACCACATGAGCATAGGAGTCACTATTGATCGTTCTTTCAATCACAAAATAGTAGGGTTGGGAAAATAGACCAGATCGTTAGAAAAACCATTGTCCAAATCAGACCGCATAGTTTGGTTCGGACCATAGACCGTTAAGTATGGTCTGGTCTGGTCCATGGTCTGTATTATTTGATGTTTTCATCTCTTGGTCTGGTCTGGTCTAGACCGCGGTTTACCGGACCAAACAGTGGACCGCAACCGACTTGTCAATACGTGTTAATAGCCCATTCGACCGCTCTCCCAACTACCAAATGACACTCAAGTCTCAACTTTAATTTTGAGAATCTCGTCTCTCCTTCATTCACAACTACATTTCACCATAGAGTAGAGATAAGCATGTCTCCATATGACATCATGTTAATGTTTATGATGTTATGGTGCAAGTTGGGATGCTTTTACTTTGTACCTTTGTTATGTACTAAGATTTAGGGTATCAGAATTATTCATGCATGTTAGAATTAATGTTTTAAGGCAAAAAACAATTATTTTTCTTGGTTATTGGTTCAATTGTTTGTGTGGACTAAACAAATTGTTCATTTTTTTCATTTTTTCAATTTTTTTTTTGACCAAAGGATCTTTATTGCTCTTTGAAATGAAGGTTACAGAGAGGGAACAAAAAAACCCAGATTCAAACCAAGAACAAGGCAACAAGAGAACACAAGATGATATCAGACTACGCCTGGGAAAATACGTCAGGGAAAAGCAAGGCCTAGATTGACATCACACATCAACCAGCCAAGCTCTTGAAACAAACGCAGAACTTTTCATAAACCCTCTCTCTTCCAACCAAACCAAAGGGCAAAAAGATCAAAACAGCTTGTCCGATCACAACGAGATCCATGGCGAATTGACGAGCAATGCCATTAGCCGTCTCCTGAGGATTGTTCAAGACATCCAACACAGTGAATCTCAACACGAGATTGCTTGACGGTGGAAGAGGCTGTGAAGCAGATTGCTCCAAGCTAAGAAGGCAGAGGGGCCACGACA